AAAAAAAATGGGGGGGGGGGGGGTTGTGAAAGCTCATTGTAGGTACACATAGGCTACTCAAAAAGGAAAGAATGCCATAAGGAGAGAGCCTAAAATTGGACTTTTTTTGTGCACTTAAGAGATAGATTCCCCTCAGTTGTTTTTTTTCTTTACAAATGTAGATCTATTTTTTTAATCCGAATCTGTTAACTTTTAGCAAGCATTTTAATTTCCTTTTTGTTTCCCCTCTCATGCAGTATGACGTCATTGTTGGGTGCAGCTGTATCACAAAAGAAGAAGTGCAAACACTTTCGGGTGCAGTTCAAGAAGCAACTCAATCTGTGAACATTGAGAACTGAATGATCCCATTGAGTGACAACATACTTTCCTAAGCTAAAAGTATATCACAATGTAGATGAAACTCTAGTTACTTTGTATTTTTGTTCACATTATTTTTCATCCAAGTGTTTATAACACCTTAGGCATTGGCGGTGCGCCTATATTGAAATAGTCAATTTGGTTAAAAATTGTGTCGCAGACATAAGTTAAAAGGTGAGATTGCATCAAGAACAAAAGTAATATTTTTTAATCTAGAATCAATGGGGGGGGGGGGGTTGTTTGTGTCAAAATGTACTTAATGACCAAAAGGGTTTTATAAGTAAGCATTTTATTTTAAATTAACACAGAAGTAGGGTGAGTGGAAAAAGTGAATTGAAATTATGAATCAATCAATTTTTTTAATAAGAAAGAGGGGGGGGGGGGGGGGTTGTTTGTGTCAAAATGTACTTAATGACCAAAAGTGTTTTATAAGTAAGCATTTTATTCTAAATTAACACAGAAGATGAGTGAGTAGAAAAAGTGAATTGAAATTATGAATCAATCACAGGTGGGGGGAGGTGATTATATAATTTAAGTAAGACATCATTTGTATCTAATTATATTCCTGATGATAATGATCATTTGAAATGAGCCAGTGTTCCATTTGAAGTCCTCTATTAAACAAAGTAACTTTCTCTTATTGTAATTGTAATGTTTATAATTTGACAAATAAAAACTTGACTGATTCCATTGTTAATCTTGTTTTGTGTCTGGTGAATATTTTGGTCATTTATGTTTTTTGTTAGTTTAAAATAAAGAGGTGCCTCGCAAATCAAGAACAATGTTCACTGAATTTTATATTTCTTCAAAATTTGTGGAAATATAGTTCCATTTTCTGCCAAATGAGCTAGATAACATATATATGATATATCATTGATGAAGGAAGTCAGTGACCTTGTGGGCAAGTAGTGGCAAAATGCTGGTCAATCAACACTTGCTGTTTCCTTGGTTTCATCTGCTGTGTCTCTTGAATTCATGGGAAGGAAGTAATGTGTATGACACACTGCACCAGAGTTTCAAATGAAAAACATTTTTGAAAAACAATGATGGAGATCACAGAAAGTTTTATTGGTCATTGTAGGGTGTTTTGAAATCAATCCTTGGTTTGTAGCAATCATGGTAAGTTGAAATCAATCCTTGGTTTGTAGCAATCATGGAAAGTTGAAATCAATCCTTGGTTTGTAGCAATCATGGAAATTTGAAATCAATCCTTGGTTTGTAGCAATCATGGTAATTTGAAATCAATCCTTGGTTTGTAGCAATCATGGTAAGTTGAAATCAATCCTTGGTTTGTAGCAATCATGGTAAGTTGAAATCAATCCTTGGTTTGTAGCAATCATGGAAAGTTGAATAATCAAGCTTTTGAAAGTTCACTTAATTTTTTTTTTAAATATATGAACTTTAACAACATAATTTGTTTTTGTCTATTTATTAAAATATATTCTAAAACAAAGTACTTCATATTTGTTCCATCAGTCCACTATTATCGACAATGTGTCGCTGGGATTGTGAAAGGATAAGTAATTCTTCAGGCTGCACTCTAAGCTAAGGTAGTAGACACTACCATCTTAAGAACACATTCCAGGTAATATGTAATCTTCTGAGCATAATTGGTATTTGACAAAAAAAAATAATTATCAAATTGTTTTATTTTATTTATTTTTTTTTACCTCTAAATTTAATTAGCCTTGGGCCTCTAGTTAGCTAAATCTAGCCCTGTATACCTGTATATACCAATTACATTTGGTACCTGGATGAAATTTGTGCCTAGGCATTTGTATCAGTGGGACAAACAGTGCCGTTTTAACACAGGGGCCAACCTTGGCGTTGCTGCCTAGGGGCTCCAAAAGCTTAATTATATTATTGTTTTACTTAAATTTCCCGTCCCCACAGGCCTAGTTTAATGGCCGCCGACTACAACAAAATTTAAAAACATTTCTGGGCAAATATAAAAAAAAAAATTTTACTGACACATTTTATAGTTAACTTAAGAAGCTAAACTGAAGCTTCATAAGTTAACTTTATAATATTTGTCCAGAAATGTCTTTAAATTTTCTTATTGTTAAAATATCAATACAAACACTTTATGACTTTGTATGATTCTAATTTTAATAGCCTATGTCATTTGACCATGAGGCTTGAGCCTATTTGATAACCACGCGATGTTTTATTGTATGGCATTCTCATCAGTGTTGAATTTCTCATGATTATGATTATTAAGTTTCTAGCAAGCAATGAGAAATCACAAAACTTGTGATACTACTGAGTGGTATTAAAAAAAAAATTAATGTCTCATTTTTTGTGCGTACATCTTGATCAAATTTTTATGGACTTTTGATAAATTTACTGACGGTTTTTACCTGGGAAAGGGGGGCCCAGCTACATTACTTCAATGAACTTCAGTCTAGAACAAACATTGTGGTAAATGCAGACAATTGGTGCCATGACGTATCGCACTGCCGCCATCTTGGTTGCCACGACCCTTGAACTTTTCTAATAACTTTTTATAAACCCTACCTGAAGCTAAATGTATCCCTGCATTTCTTAATCGAAGACAGAAATTTAGAATTATACTACAGCGACAGGTACCTTGTAAAGTACAGTATTCAAACACACAACATTGCCCTTCAATTTTAAAAGTTATAATTTTGAAGATGACAGTCTTAGTCTTAAATGCCTTACAAACACTTCATCTCAATGTGTCTGACAAGATCTTCCATTCAATCATCAATTTGTCTTATAAAATATTTCTTTGAATTTGTCTTACAGAACTTAAAGAGAAGAGTATTAATGCACTATTCTTTTACAAAAATTAAATGCTGAATATTATTGATCTACAATGAAATATATTTAGGAATGCAGACTTTTTGTGAGAAATAAAAATAAAATAATAACTTAAGTCACCATACCAATTCAAATTTTATTTATATTACAGATACAGATACAAAATATATTCAAATATTATTAAACTTACATGCATACTATAATACACTAGTTTACAATCAATTGCACTGTTAAAATCATTTATTTATTGCACATTTCAAAAAAGTTGTGATCCTTAAATCTTAGAGGACCACACAAAAAAAACAGTATTTAAAATTCCTAATTGTGTTTGGCTTCTTGGGCCCATAAGTCAAGGTCTCTACAAACTTCCTACGTATATATTTTTCTGCCATTCAACTAAAAATAAAATGTTATGATCACTTTGTCAAATATTAGCCGAAGGGAATCGCATTGATTGTTTCACTTTGGAAGTTTTGAGATTTTGGTTCACTACCAGTCAAAACCTTAGTCAAATTAATTATACGAGTGGTATTTTTTTCTCTTTTAAAAAAAATAGGGGAGCTCAGAACTGCAGTAAAATTTTTGACAAAATCTCACACATGTATTAAGGTCTATTAGTTCATTCTGAAAATATCACAACTAAAGAATTGGGAGTTACTCCACTCACAAATAATGAATCGGAAAGCAAAAAGTTCATTGAGTATCAAGCATTGGAGATAGATAAGTTAACCTTGTCTTCTCTCCCTGTGCTGTACGTGGCGTTGTCAAAACCTGAGTTGTTTGAAGAGAAGGGCAGCCTGGTCAGGCCTTGGAAGTTGAAGTATTTTCTGGCCACAAACATGACAGTCACAGCGATGGCTATGATGGCAACACAGCCAATGACGATTCCGGCAATAGAGCCACCACCCAAGGATGAATCTGATGCAAAAAATTGTAATATATTTATCTTATTTTTTTTAAAATAATTAAATATATTTGTTTTTTGTTTTTTTAAATAGAAAATATTTTAATACTTTAAAAATAATTAATACAATTTTATTATTGTCAATAGTTTTTTAACCCTCTCACCCATCCTGGGTGTGATTTTAAAGACTATATTAGTAGAATTATTTGCAAAATTATTAAAATGCATACAAAGATTTCCTATAAGGCTATACTATATATAATCATACCATTATTATTATTAATTCCTCCAACATATTTATTTGTAATGCCTTGACCAGGGGTACTTGTTCCAATGGGATTAAAATTGGTAATTATTCCTCCTTGTGTGTTCTGACCATTAGGATTATAAGGAGTGTTCTGGCCATTCGGAATATAAGGTGTGTTCTGGCCATTAGGATTATAAGGTGTGTTCTGGCCATTAGGATTATAAGGTGTGTTCTGGCCATTAGGATTATAAGGTGTGTTCTGGCCATTAGGATTATAAGGTGTGTTCTGGCCATTAGGATTATACGGTGTTGGAGATGTACTTGGAGCAATTCCTAAATGGAAAAAATAATGTTAGATAAATGATAATTTTGAATAACAACTATATATATTTTAATCATGTTTTCTTCAAATTTATTTAACACATGCTTACATCATTTAGCCAAATCAACATACAATCTGTTTAAAATAAACTCTGTTACTTCATTAACTAATTTATCCGAAAACATCTCCTTTTAACTAATATAACAAAAGTAAGAACAAACTTGTTGGCATCTTGCAGATGTAAGGATTCTGATCAAAGCAGTCAGTATCAGCCCACGTGCCATCATTTTTGGAAGCCTTGAAAAAATATATAACTTTATATTAGGGTACGGCCAAATTCATTATTTAAATTCCCTCCACTATATTTTTTTCAGTTTAAATTAGCACACACAAACACACATATATATTTTTGTTTTATATTTATGCATATTTATATAAATACCATATAAATTTAAGGTAATCCGATGCATTAGATTATTGAATTGGCTGCCAGTGTATCGAGTCAAGGATCAAATCAGTATTTACCAATGCTTATACATAGATGCAAGAGAGAAAAGAATATTTTCTGAAAAGCATACCTGTCCATATAATTACCACGGCTCCAAGTGGTGCAACAATAAACATGCCAGAGCCATGCAAGTGGAGCCAACCGAAACAATTATAACATACCACTGCTGCCATTGGAACACTAATAACATACCGCAGATCTCAACAGCATAATAATAGGTTTGGCTGGCCACCTAGTCAGATGCCTGTCAACCAACCTGCATTGCAGGCAAGGCAAGAGGACGACCACATCACTGGTGGATCATCTGTGTTAAGGACACCTTATGAGACCACAACATGAACCTCCAGCAGGCCTCACAACTTGTGACTAATTACAACTGTACCGTCTGTGACAAATACCCCCCCCCCCCAGTAAAAGTGGACAGAAGAAGAAGATATGAAAATTGTTGAATCCTGGTAAGTAATAGAAATGCATACTTACCCTGACACAGTCTTGGTGCATTGTGGGATCTTGGTCGTTTGGTTCATTTTGACCCCAGTAGACATAAGCCACAGGGGATTTGTCAGTCCAGGCAAAACCAACTGAAACCAGTGAACAGATTTATTGAATTAAGAACCAAACCAAAGAAGTTAATACATGACATTCTTGCATGCATACACTTATTTTTCTATGATTGGTAGCTCAATGCTTTAACTTATTTATTTTTAAAAATGTGGAATCTATTTCTAGTTCGTCAAATGTCTATGGAGTTTGTTACATGAGGTGGTTTCTATTATTTTCATGCACTAGTTATAGACCAGTGGTGGGAAACCTGGGTGGGCAACTTGGTGGGAAACCTTGGTGGGAAAACCTCGGTGGGAAAACCTCGGTGGGCAACCTCAGTGGGAAACCTCAGTGGGAAAACCTCAGTGGGCAACCTCAGGGGCAACCACTTTGTGCAGAGCCCTATATGGAAATGGGTCGGCTCATAAGATAATTTGTTAGGAATCTTGAGTTCTAGTTTTAATAGATGGCATTAAAGATGAGCTCAATAAAAGCTGAAAGAACACTTTGAAAATAAGCAGTAGAATCATTTTTAAATTTGCAGTGATTATTATTATTATTATTAGAGTTCAACAACTTTACACTGTGATTATTACTTCACAATTAGTACAATTTACGAAAATATTAATCCAGTATCAAGAAGGCTTTGCTCATCATTTTAACCATTTGCAGTGGGCCTAAAGCTGCCAGTGGAAAGTAGGTTTCCCACCCCTGTTATAGACATTTCACAGTCTCCAGAGTCAACATGAAAATAATAATTTTTTCACAGTTCAAATTTTTTTAAATGAAAATTATTCTTGAAAACTACTGTTAATGGATAACTGTATTGAAAAGAAGGGGAATATTTTTTAACTGCTATTCTAAACTCAAACTACATTGGACCCACAAAATATTAATTTTTAAAAGCATTTTCATACATCATGCTATAATATTTTTTAATTATTATATTTTTTTTGAACTTACGTCCTTCTCCTCTGCTAAGTCCAATCCATGCATTCAGGTTGACAGAGGTTAACATTGTGGTGATGTAATGAGCCTCATCATCGCTTAGAATATTAACCAAACCGGCACCAAGCATACTACAGGCATAGTTTGCACCAGACCAAGACTTCGTCAATCTCTTCTCAAAATAGTAACAGTTGGAGCCATACATGACCCAGTTCTTGGGGCAGATGGCCAGGGTGGCTGGAATTGTCGGTGTAGGGGTAGGTGGGGGAGCTAAACCAAATAAAATAAATACATTAGGTTGATATCACAGGAAGTAGTATTGGATGTAGTGGTTATTGGTTGGGGGGGGGGGGGAAGAAAACTGTGTACCAATATGGTTTTTGATATCACAGGAAGTAGTATTGGATGTAGTGGTTATTGGTTGGGGGGGGGGGGTAGAAAAATGTGTACCACTATTGTTTTTCATTTACTACCATATAAATCTGAAACAGAAGAAAAAGGAGATAACACAGATATGCTGGAATAGTGCAAAGACTTTGAAATAATTAACCGCCAAGATAAATCCTAAGAGATTTCGTATCAGTTTATCCAAGCATATGGCGTAATAATATGATGATTCATAGAAAGGAAGAACAACTCTGATCGCAGTTGATGAGGAAAGAGGCAGTGGGTTTAGCGGAGGGTTGAAGAACTGCAGAAACCGAAAAGAGGGGTGGAGTATTGAGAAGAACATCAGGATGATAGGAGAGAGTAGAGGTTGGTGAACATCAGGATGATAGGAGAGAGTTGAGGTTGGTGAACATCAGGATGATAGGAGAGAGTTGAGGTTGGATGATAGGAGAGAGTTGAGGTTGGTGAACATCAGGATGATAGGAGAGAGTTGAGGTTGGATGATAGGAGAGAGTTGAGGTAGGATGATAGGAGAGAGTTGAGGTTGGTGAACATCAGGATGATAGGAGAGAGTAGAGGTTGGATGATAGGAGAGAGTTGAGGTTGGTGAACATCAGGATGATAGGAGAGAGTTGAGGTTGGCGTAGTGGGTGTTGTGATGGGAGGGGTAAGTTGGTAGTCGAGGGGCTAGGAAGTAGTAAATGGAAACCTATTTACGGAAAATAAGAAAGATTAAAGTGTATGTTGTGCGGTAAAATTTATTTTGGAACTGGCCGACATCAACCTTGTCTTGTCTAATGCTTCAGTGCTTGTGATGACATCAACCTTGTCTTGTCTAATGCTTCAATGCTTATGATGACATCAACCTTGTCTTGTCTAATGCTTCAATGCTTATGATGACATCAACCTTGTCTTGTCTAATGCTTCAGTGCTTATGATGACATCAACCTTGTCTTGTCTAATGCTTCAGTGCTTGTGATGACATCAACCTTGTCTTGTCTAATGCTTCAGTGCTTGTGATGACATCAACCTTGTCTTGTCTAATGCTTCAGTGCTTATGATGACATCAATGATGACATCAACCTTGTCTTGTCTAATGCTTCAGTGCTTATGATGACATCAACCTTGTCTTGTCTAATGCTTCAGTGCTTGTGATGACATCAACCTTGTCTTGTCTAATGCTTCAGTGCTTGTGATGACTTCAACCTTGTCTTGTCTAATGCTTCAATGCTTGTGATCGTTTCCTCTCTGTGTGAAATAATTGCCATCACCTTTTTTTGGGAGGTGCTCCAAAGCAAAACTTTTTTTTTTTTTTTTTGAGAAGTAAGTGCTAATTTTTGAGGTCCACCAGGAGCTTATCTGACCATTTGAAATTATAAGAATTTTTAAACCCATTAAAATGACCATATATATTTGCAACAAATTATCTAGACCTATTAAAGATCAATCCCAGGGGGTCATTGCCTTACAGGGAAGGCAAAGACTTTTACTGCCCTCCTTCCACCAATAATACTCTGCATTTGGTCGTAAATGCCCATTCCACATAAAGAAAAATGTGCCACCCATGGTGTACAGCGTTCCTCAGCACTCCTTCCTATGCCACCTCCTCATATCCCTTTTCAATAAATGTCAAAAAAGTTTCAACCTCCTTCCCCTTATTTGGTTGACATAATTAATGGTAGATGTCCAAGCCCTTTCCCCCTGGGTAAAAAAAAAATAAATATGACATGGCATAAATAAGGTCAAAGAAAAATATTAAAATAATCTCTGGTGACATGGGAAAACTCAACCAGCCAATCCACCGAGCCTAAATGTTTGGGAAACAATGTTCCAATCCACCAAGCCTAAATGTTTGGGAAACAATGTTCCAATCTACGGAACCTAAATGTTTGGGAATCAATGTTCCAATCCACCAAGCCTAAATGTTTGGAAAACAATGTTCCAATCCATCAAGACTAAATGTTTGGGAAAGAATGTTCAAATCCACCAAGCCTAAATGTTTCGGAAATAATGTTTTAAGCCACAAAAAATAACAATTATAGCATGGCAGTGCTCACCTAGATTGATCTCACACATGTAGTTGAGTTGCATGACACAAGGAAGGTCCTGCCATTGACCATCAACAGTGTGACTGACACATGATTGCATCCCCAAGCCAGAGAGGTCTGGCTGTCCAGTGCCCCAGTTTGTAAATTTGACCGGCCATCCATTTGACCACCCAAAACCTTGCAGGGTCTGGAAACATTTTATATTTATATCATATTCATAAAAAAACAAAAATAATTCATGCACATATAAATTCACAGAAATAAATATACAAAATTATTGTATTTTTATTCATGAAAAGAAGACAAAAAGACTTACAAATGAATAAGACATTCCAACCCAGAACTGTATTGCATCTGAGTGTTGGGTGGCGATCTCAACATAAGCCTGCTCAGCCCTGAATAAAATTGAGTTATAAAAAGAACCATGCATTGTTAATGAGACCAGCAGATAAGAAATACAACTCTATGTTAAGGATAAGAAGATATTTTTTCATAAGTACCAAAACTTTAAGATACTTGGTATTTACTATTACTATTAGACTTACAATAAATTAATATAATTTTCAACTTTTGAATCACAAAGCAACAACATTTTTATCAAATGAAAAAAAAAAAAATCCTTTCAGGGAGAATGAGTACATAACGATATTTCCTAAGCCGAACTTCTTATGACAAAAACAGACAACACATAATTTTTTTCTCAAATAAAAAGTTACAGGACTTACAGGGAATCTAGACTGACCAGATGGCCACCTTCTGAAACACAGTAGCCTTCAGCGACTGTCCAGTTAAATGCATTGTTGCCATAAAATTTGTAACAGCTATTTTGGAACCTGCTGTAGGTTTGTGGGCACCCTGTACTGTTTGGTGCAGCAGTTGGCAACATGAGACCTGGGGGACAGATTGAGATATGTTGTCTATGGCAATGGAAAGGATGATATTAAATATTCAATGATTAAAGTATTATAGATGTAATGGAGTGTTGAACAGTTAAACTTATATCTTTATAACTATATCAGTGTTTGTGTCTGCTGACTCAACAAGGATCAGCTGATCGGGGAGGGGGGGGGGGGGGGGGGGGGGGGGGGGGGGCTGGTTTGCTCTGTGAGTGCCCAGATCCCAGATCAGGCCCATTTAGGCACAAAACGTTCTGGCGCAAAGTCGGCAGATGTGAATGGAGCGCATTGCACTGGCCTTTACTGGATTTCCTTTTTCAGCTCTCCGGTTGTTATGGCCGATTGATGTTGACCATTAGGGTGTCCCTGATGAGTAGATTACTGCAAATCTAATCTTCTGAAAATACACCTACCTGAGTTAAATCAGCTTGGTGCATTTTTGTCGGCAGTTTTAACACAATTTCTATGTATTGCCTGAACCTAATTGATTCTTTCATCCCTACTGCTCACTATATTTGACAATGTCAAACTGTTTTCTTACAAACTACCAAAACAGCCCACATCTTTAAACATCCCATCAGGCTTCACCTTTGTTTTGTTCTTATGACCTTTTCTAAAACATGATAACTGATTTTTTTTTCACCATACTTATATTTTTTCCTCTTTTTGTCTGTTTTGTCCAATGAAAATACCTTCTATTTAATTTTTTTTTTTTCTTAAAATAAAAATCTTAATAACTCAAGCTTAGGTGAATTTCTACAGAACCTTTTTCTTTAGATCAAAACCTTCCAAAACTTTGTATGTTGGCGACACACTCTTGACCTACTTAATTTCACAAGACATTCAAAATTTTTCAGGTTTAAACGTCAACAAACCAGCTATAATGGTAACCCTCTAACAATCAGTTTATTTATCTGATTGCAATGTAAAGATCATAATTATCATCTGGATAGCAGCCTTCACTTGGAGCTTGGAGCTTTCATTATGTCCTCCAATTATGTCCTTATCAAAGGAATTTCTATACCAGCCTCAGACCCAGAGAAGGATAACTTTATGGTGGTTTTTGCTTTGTCATTTTTGTGTGTCCATGTTACAATCTATTTGAAAGCCAAGTAACTTTATTGAGCTTTATTTGTTACACTCATTCATTGATTAAGCATTCAGATTTCCTAAAACATTTGAATCCTCAGTAAAGAAACACTCTGGATTTGCGAGAAATTACAGTTTTGTGGCCCAAAAGAGGTCCTAAGTGATTATTTATGATCATTTACACATTATTATTAGGAAACATATCAATAGTTGAAAACGAAAAATTTGGATGCCTGCTGTAAGCAGCCTACCTTTATTAGATTCACAGATGTAGGCATACTTGTCACCGCATCTCTTATCATCCCATGTCCCAACAACCTGTACACCAGTTTCCATGTCAACACAGTCAAGCTGAAAATTTATTTAAAAAAAAAAAAAAATTATGGTTACTCACAAATATCAAGAAGAATATCATTTAAACTTTTAAGAGTTGAATAGTGTTGTTTATGATGAAGTGGATGACAGTTTTTTATTAAATCTTTGAAGCTTTAATGGTAATCTTTAATGCTTCAATACGAAGTAAATTTGTTGCATATTTCAAAGGCTAATACCTGTAATCCTAAGCTTTCTTCTACGTATTTCTTTTTTACTTTATGACTTAATTTGAAAACAATGAAATAAGTTGTTCTGTATGATCTGTCTAAAAAATAATTCTGTATGATCTGTGTAAGAAATGATTCTGTATGATCTGTCTAAAAAATAATTCTGTATGATCTGTGTAAGAAATGATTCTGTATGATCTGTCTAAAAAATGGTTCTGTATGATATGTCTGAAAAATGATTCTGTATGATCTGTCTAAGAAATACTCTGTGCATGTCTGGGGGCGGAGGTCATAGAGGGGTTGTGGGTGACACTATGAGTTTATCCCACCGGGTAACACCAATAATAGTGGTGCCTCTGACTGCATGTAAGCTTTACCCATGTGCCACATGAGAAAAAATGGTTTAATTAAAATTATCAACAACTTCTTTTATTTTTAAAATAAGTTGTGGCTGAAGATGGTGCAGAGGTGAACATTACAACCAAGCTATTGTTCAGTTGTCTGCAAGACCCTAAGATGCAGTAGATGATTTCTTTATGGTGTCTTTTAAGGGGCCATCAATGAATGTCATGACAAACCTGGGGTGAGGGGTCATGAACTAATGTGTGATGTTGTGTTATATCTAAAATTTTGATGATTTGAGGAAGGAGGGGGTTGGGTAAAATGGCCAAAGTAGCACTACATCATTTATGGCCCCAAACAGATCCATGAGGTCTGGATGCCTTCCCTTTGATTTTCAGAAACTTCTTAATATGTTACCACAAGGATTTTTTTTTTTAACTCCTAAGTGAGAGCCATTGGTTACAATGAAAACTTAGCGTCTCTCTTAAATGATGTTAATATTGTCTTCCTCAAAACCAAGAGACAACAGATTTATAGTCATCTTGACCTCCTCAATGACAAGAGACAGCAGATTTATAGTTATCTTGACTTCTGAAAATCTAAGAGACGGTAGATTTATAGCGATCTTGACTTCATTAAAACCAAGAGATAGCAGATTTATATTCATCGGGCTCCAGCTATGGGTGGCATTGACTTTTCAGCCCATTGATGCAGACATTCTCGGGGTGCTTGTAGAAACTGAGCTAAAAAAAAAAGCAACCCTCAATCACCAAAGTTAGGAATTAAAATCTGCTGTCTAATCTGTCACCACAAAGTAAGGCTTTTTGATATGAATCTGAAACAGCTAAATAATATGATATGTAAAAATATAAAATTTATGTGGAACAATAGAAATGTGGAAACATACCCTGTTTTGTGGATTATTATCATTTAAGTTTTCATTGGGTTGTCGTAATCCCCAATTGGTGTAGTCCACATTGAGATTATCCACCCAGCCAAAACGATTCCTGACCTTGAGGTCATTGAAACCAATCCAGGCAGGGGACTTCAGGTCAGCTACCAAAGTTATTAGGAACTCTGTGGAAAAGATCATCTGATTTTCTTACACCTTTAAAGATGTAAGCAATTTGATATAAAGTGAGTAATAAAATTGTAGTGCTTTCCCCATAATAGTTATTTTCAAAATCCCTTATGTATAAGATAAAGAGAAAAAAAACATTGGATCTTCATGAAATTAAGTCTCTTCATTGGTTTAGAGATTATGCACACAAATCAACCAGATTGGACCAAACATAAAAAACGACTTTTTTTAATAACAGAATTTTGGTTACTGATTCTCCCTGTCTATCACTCACTCTCTTCCATAGTGCTGTGCACAGATGCCAACTGGGACTTGTGGACCATCAACTCACAGGCCTTTATGGCATCATTGAATGTCTTACGTTCAGGCTGAGTGGTTCCGCCAACATAGTAACATCGAGACACTAAGAGATTTGAGGTCAAAGATTTTAAGACATAGTATAGATGTTAAGAAGGCCAGTAAAGCTAATCTATATTTCTGACACCAAGTTTTTGTAAATTATTTTTTTTTTTACATAAAAAAACACACTATGTTAAAGTTGTTTTTGTTGTTGTTTTTTTTGGTCGTTTGACAAAAAAAATAATAAAGTTCAAATTTAAGGTTAAAATCCCTTTTTAAAAATTTAATCCTTGAAACTCAATGGTATCTTTTAAATAGAATTTTAAAATATGTCTTATAGAGGTGAGGGTCAGAACAATTTTCACGATGTTGTGTCAAATTAGAAATTTACATTAATTCAGCATGCAACCACCACCTATACGTCAACCTGCTCAACCAAATTTTATATAGTATATAGCTAAAAAAAATTCTGCATCCCACATCTGGCCTGAGTTTCATAGGCTGCAAGCGTATGACATAGAATAATGTATACCTTAGAAATAAATTTGTAAAACTTAAGATTACAACTTTAACTCTTTTTTTTTCTTTTTTATAGATGCTTATGGAGATTTTAAATTTTCTAAGGTAAAACAGAATGAATGAGTGGTTAGTTTAAAAAAAAAATATTTACACATCAGCACCATCTTTTGTTAACTCTGAGCTGAATTACCTATAAATTATGTTAAACAAAGATGGACATCAACAACACATTCGTCTACTAACATGACGGCAAAGTCTTGAAGTCTCTAGGACAGCCCCCATTAGTGCTGGGTGTTGTTATGGGTGGTGGAGTGGCATTGCCAGGACGCCTCTTGCAGACGTAGCCTCTCTTCTCCTGGCAATACTGATCATTCCACTGGCCTGGACATATTAGAGCACAAGCCTAAATTTCAATCTTTAATGAGACTCATGGGTTACACTGCTTTTTACTCCACCAATCTTAATCTAAAATGATATTGTAATTTTAAAAATTTCAAACTATTTCTAAGCATTGTTGGTGCCGGCAGACACTGTTAAAATTCTGCCAGCAAAATTCACTAATATTTTTTGTCAAAAACAGTAACATGAAGTGCTGTGCTTTACACACATATATTTGGTCATATGTTGACCTACAAATTGTACTAAAAAATCATTTCTTTTAAAGTAATACTGTAACTCTGTTAAAGGAATTTCCTCAAACATTCAAGTTCTAATTAAATTTTCCATTTTCAAAATCCCTACAAATATTTAAAGTCAAATTTGTCCCTATAAAAAGCTTTGCTTTTTTATATAAATATGTCTATACAGCACACTTATTGTCTAGGGTATGTTCTCAATAACATTTCAAAACTGTGAAAAAATTATAGTGAGAATCTTGGAAACACGGACTTTGATTAACTCACCATAAGAGTTTGTTTCAACACACTGTTCTCCACCATAAGCATCATCAGGCTGATGAAGACCCCAACTCACAAAGACAATGGGGCTAATGTCTGTCCAACTAGAGATAACAAATGAAGAACAATTAAATTATGTAGAAGCAGTTCCTATAAAATTATAATCCTCCATATTCCATTTCAAGTATCACTCTCCATAAGGAATAGGGTAATAAGGGGAGAGACTGCAATCAGGTTAGCACAATATAAAATGAGTAAAAACAAAAAGGGTTAAACCTGAAAAAAGGAACGCAACAAAACAACGAATGTGTCGATAGAAAGCCTTCATCAGCAAACAAAACAACAGAAAAAACGGTCCATGGATTTGAGGAATACTTTTAGACAATCTTGGAAACAATTTTTCCAGCTGATAGTATGACATTATTATTTGTTTAGCCTTGCTGCTTTTTAATACACTTGCAGCATGTCCAGCCCATTACTTCTACTGTCACAGGCTTCATCTTTCTCAGCAATACAATATTTAAAAACCTAAGTGTAACCTTATGATTTTTATATCACAGTGTGTGCATTAAAATAATCCTTATTTTTAAACAAACAAAAATTATTTTGTAAAGAACTGATATCAATCATGCATCACCTGTAACTACCCTGTTCCAAATCATTGAGTCCAATCCAGAAGGAATCCACAGGGCTTCTGCTGAGCTGTGAATTTAGCCATTTTGGAATGTAAATTTAATCTTGAAGAATATTTGCAGAGTAACACATATTTGAGAAGACTAAAGAGTACTAGCTCTAGAGATCAAAGAGAAAGTAACTGAAAGATCCACTATAAAAATTTGTCCAAATTTCTTGGTTATTATTTTTAAATATATTTGTTTGAAGGCTTGTATTCCTATAAATAGATAGAGTTCATGGGCAGACTGCAGGATAAAATATGGATTTTCAGACTATTGGATATGAATATTAATTTTATAACTTAATTATTATTACAGCTAAGACCTAAGAGAACCATGCCTGTTGAACTCACCATTGTTGTGACATAGCCATTTTCATCGTCACTTCCAATGCTAACCAATTCTGCTGACATATCCTTGCAAATCAACCGAGCTTGAAACCATGAAACCAGAGATTGGTTCCCGGTTGGTGAGCTCACATAATAGCAATAGCCATTATACTGTGTCCAGTTGGTGGAATTGCCACACTGTGGAGCTATGGAGATTTAACATGTCTCTATTTTTAAGCAAAACAAAACTTTAATTTTAACAAACATGAATAGTAGAAGAATAAAGAAAAAGATATAAAGAACCAATAAAGGTGGGGAATTTTGAACATAGGGCTGTTGGTGAAATATGGATAAAACTATACAACAGGCCTTTCAAAAACGTTAATGAGATAAAGATACCTTTCATGTTTTCCTTAGAGCAAAAACAAAAGCCTGAACCTGATCAAGCCCATGAAACTTTATATCATCTATTCTTTTAAAGCAATGACTAATGATATGGTAATGACAATAATAACTTACTATTTCTTCCTGGTGTAACAGTGGGTCTAGTTGTTGGCACTATAGCTCCTGTTAGAGAGTAATATTTTAAAGCAACAGGGAATATCAAAGATGTAAAAAGTCTGTGGGAGAAAATGTTTTGAAGAGACTTATGAAAATAGTTTCTTACACAAATGTATGTGTTACCTAAAATGAATAGATGGAATTGTTATCAAAGATAAGAATTCCCAGTTCTTTACATAATACTTTTGTACGAAGCACACAGACTGATCAATCTCAAGATGATGTCAATACAAAAATTGTTATTGACATTTTATGCACAATGGATATATTATAGTTGGATTTATTTGTAAGTCTTTTTTGTGAGTTTCAAGTCTTGAAAGAAACAGTTTTAGAAAAACTACTAAAATGACATATTAACAGGTTTAAGTCAGTCTTACCTCTTGGTGCCTGGCAGATGAAACTGTTCGCTATGTAGCAATAATTGTCAGCCCATCTATTGAGAGGCAGTGTCCACTGAACACAATCCTCACTGGTAAAAATTAATTTTTTAATTAAAAGGATGTGCAAAAATACTTACTAAAACTTGTTAATATTTAATGAGCAATGAGTCTTCAAAATTATTTATGTGGAATTTATTTACAAGATTCTTATATATATTGTACTCACCGATTCAGCAGGTTGTTTGGCTCCCCTTGATTCCAGTGGGTATAAGTTAATCCTGAGCCATCTGCCCACATAAAGCCTAAAAATATTTGTTAATTTAAAAAGAAAATTAGTTGAAATATTATATCTTGCTAGGTAAAGGCTGCTGTTGCTTTGTTTTTGACATTGGAAATAATAGAAGTGTTCATGCATTTATTTATAACCCTTTTAGAGCTTGAAGTAAAGCAATAATGGGCAGTTTCCTTAATGTTTCAAATTTCTTTATTAAAAAATAGCCAACCCTGTATGGATTCCTGATGAAATAATAGTTTTGATGAACTACAAAATAAAATGAATGCAGAAAGGCCAGTTTTAATATTTATAAAGGAATCCTAATTTACATAAAGAACAAAAATGCCTGACTTATACAACATATGAACTGACTTCTTTACAGGAAAAATATTCACCTGACTCTACGTCCCTGTCATTCAAACCTATCCAGTAGACACCAGGAACATTCCTGAACATCAACAAACATGGATTAAATTGTGTATTAATATTAAAGCATTTAAAATGAACTACTCAGCATATAATAATAAATCTTTAATTTTTGTTTAGTTTTTTTTTTTTCTCCAAATGGTAATGATAATTTTTCAAAGTAATCTAAATGCTTTTTAGCTCTTTCAATAAAACTTCAACAAATAGTTAGGACAATAATTTTCTCACATCTATTTGTTTCACTTTATCACCTATGTAATGTCATGATTTAAAAAATTTTCATTTAAAAAAGTACACAGAAAATACATATAATTTCAGAAGCATGAAATCTACTCTGTTCACCAATGGAAGTTTAAATATAAGAATCCCTGTTAGAGAATAATTCCTTACTTTATGACAGTGTTCTTCAGAAAGTTCTCTAAATTAGCATTGGGCACACTTGCAAGGGTTGCTCCTACAGCCCGGCTGGCACAATACGCTTTAGCACTCATCCATGAAGTTGACAGGTTTGAACTCGGCAAATATGCCTTAAATCAATCACATTAATAAAATTAATTAGCTTATCATTAAATGTGTTTCTAAATAAATTGAATTAAGAATTAATGATGAAAGAACAAGTTTCTATCCTAGAGCCCAGACAACTGACCATATAGCAAAGATTTCCATAAGCAGCCCACCCTGCCGGACAAGGTGCAGATCTGGTCGTGGTTACAGTCGGCCTTGGAGTGGTGAAGCCAACACGTGGAGACTGACAGATGTAGGGCAGGGCCTGTGTGCACTGATATGTATCCACCCATAAGCCAGTAGGTTTAGCTGTCTGCATAGCTACACATGTGTTGTTCAAGTTGCCTGAAAATTTAAAGAGTTGAGATTTAAAATAAAAGGAGATGATTGTCCAAGCTCTGAATCATAAGGTGCTGGGAATCAATAAAGTTAGAGATGGACCTAATTAGGTTCCATAAGGAATGTATAAACTGTCAGGTATGGTTTTTTAAATCCTTTATATTAACGTCACTTTTGTTCTTGGCTGGTAAAATCTTAGGATGGTGAAATGACCCACTATCGTATCAACCTATCGAATTTTCAACCCAACCCCACAACCTCCAAAAATAATTTTTTTCTGTTTTTCAAGGCAAGAAGAAGGAAATATTATGACACTTATTTCAATAAATAAAATTCCCAATAACTGCGTTAAATGAGATGCTTTTAAAAACCTATAAAACTGGGGTAGTCCCTCTTCAAAGTTCGAGAATTAATCTGATTTTTTTTCTGGGCTTATTAGCCATCTTAGGAAGCTAAGGGATTCACTTTTAATCTTTTTACAAATTTTACAATAAGATTCCTTTGACAATAAACTTTGAGAATTTTCACACAAAACATTATATGGGGAAAATGTTGGTGTATAAACTGTATTTACACACTAAACATTTGTAGTGAATAAATTCAATTCAATTATCACATCAACATCTGAAACAATGAAATTCCAGATAATTTTCAAATTTGAAATCATAAGCATTAAAACATTGTATTGTAATCAAAACATGTTTAACTACTCCAGATATCTGGTCACAAAGTACCTCTATAAGTATTTCCCCATGATGTAAACGACACTGGCCATCCATTAGCCCAACTGTAAGTTCTTGCAGTAGAAGAGAGCCCAATCCAATAAGCTGAAGCAGTTTTACCAAACAGTTCGGCCGATAAAAAGGACTGAATTTGCCTGAGACATATTAGTTTGATAGTTAAAATGAATCTATATCTATATTTCATTAATCAGTTAAAAGTTTCTCAGTCAAAACCAAGAAATGGTCAGCTCTTGTTAACCCCCAACCCCACCCCACCAATTATTTAAAAATTGTTGTCAGGTGTTTAATTGCATACACATATAGGTTAAGCCTCTCATTGCAATATATTTCATTTTAAAAACTTATATCCAAACTGTAGATGACAAAGGAGTTTTAAAATAAATCTTTTTTAATAAATAAATTTTCTGCACTTTCATGCCATAAAGGAAAATTATTTAAATTTAAGCAGATTTGGCCCATACGGATAAACTTGGGAAAATGAAATATATAATTAATAAGCTTTCATTTTATTATTTATTTATTTTTTAAAAAATATTTCAGATTTTCTCCCTTTTACTTTTAGTTTTTGTGTGTGGTTATTTTGCTTCCAAAAGTTATAGATCTTTGTGTGGTGATTTTGCTTCCAAACGTTATTGATCTTTGTGTGGTGATTTTGCTTCCAAAAGTTATTGATCTTGTCAGACCTTTGGCATTGCTTCCTGCATCCTCAGGGGATGCAACCAGATTAAGCAATCACCCCTGGTTAACAAACCCTCAAAACAATATCTTTAATTAAAGGTTAATGTAAAATTTCACATTTACTTTGCTCATTGGCTTCATCATGGCCATAGATTTTTAAAGTACATGCCTTTTAGCACTATAATAATAATAATAAAAGTATTTACAAAAAGGAGAAACAGTAGTACAAAATGAACTTGAAATCTAATCAGTGACATAGGAAGAGGTTGCAGAGGGAGGCGGTCTGCCCAGGGGAGAACTTTTTTTTATATGAAGGGACAGCATTTTTGGCCCTCTGCAGAGCTCTTTTCATGGAAATGGGGGTGGCAAAATCCTCAGGATGCCTCAGGTTGCACTAAACCTAGCTACACCACTGAACCTAATTGTTCTTAATTCCTCAAATAAAAGTTCTTACACATTGCTGACTGTAGCAAGGAATCCATTCTTTCCTCTGCAGGCATTTTTAGCATTGTTGAAAGTCATAGGCTGATCAGTAATACTGTAGCAAAGAGCACCATACCCAAGGGAATTCTATTGAAATTTTTAAAAATGTTTACATTTGTTTAAGAAGTATTTTAACAGTCTAGATTCCAAAATACCTCTAATAAAAATACACAAGTTATAAGGTAATTTTTTGTAGCACATAGTAGAGAATAAATTATAATTTCAGAAAGGTGCTGCATTACAAATGTTTACAATTCAACATTCTATGAAACCTGAATCACGGTCTTCTCAAACCTAAACAATTAGGAGCAAATGAATGTGGAGTGTTGTTTTTAGGTTTTAACATATATGCAATTTATTACAAAGCGCAATAAAAACAAACAAATCCTCCCAAAAAAAAACATGATTGTTGTCACCTCTCATTGAAAATGCTAGCTTTATTGAAATTATGACAAAATATGTGACTCTAAAATAATCAGCTGATCAATTTAGGATTGCAGTACTCACAGCTGGACAACCCGCCTGAATGGCTGGTGTTCCTTTTGGCTGCAGACTCATACTCATTTTGCACAAGGTCATGTTTAATTTCAAACCACAGGGGACATCATTCCATTTACCATTCTGAATTACATTAAAAAGATAACATTTTTTTTTTAAAAACGTTTGTGAGCTCAGATTTTTTTTTTCAATTTTAAATATTTTTTTCTGTCTATATCATGCAGGGTCACAATGATAAATACAAGTTAACTATTTGGTACCTAGTGTTCATGTTTTTAAAACACCACGTCAAGTTAAAAACTCTGTATGTCTTTTTGCCTGATTATAAAGAGATTACAACTTTCGAGTAGTCAACAAGCCAGGCAGTGTCCATTGAGCCTGACAGACTACTTGGTTCCTTAACCCAAGAACTAGCTGATTTGATTTTTCTAATAGGTTTTAAGAGGCATTAGAATGATAATGTACATTGGCTTGCAGCAATGATGACTTTGAGAGGTCATAGACTCATTACATCACCTCTAACTAACATTATCTTTATCTCTTTCTTGGAATATAAAACGAATCCATATATTATCTCAAAATAGGGAAAGATTTTCATGCAATGTAAACAAAGTATAAAATTTTGCTTTTTGATAAAGGATTTCAATTATAGGCAGTTTTCATGTATGCCAAGTTGGCTGATAAATTGTTTTAAAATTCCAGTTAAAAATTAATTTTTTTTAATATGTAAAAATATTTATTTTTCAAAACTGATGTTATCTATATACTTTTAGGATAATTTTTAAAAAAATTATTGAAACATTTCAATAAATAATTCAGGAATACTCCTTTTCTTTTAACATAGACCGTCTTTGAAAATAGAATGTCTTTAAACATAATAGCATCTTTAAACAGACTATTTTAAAACATTGACTATATTTAAACATATAACACATTTAATCATAAATAGTTTTTGAACATAGAATATCTTATATAATATACCATATTTTAACATATTACAAGGCTTTTGTCAAATTTGAGTAGCTTTTTGTTCATGTAGAACTGATGAAGGTCATTTTATTAGCCTCTATCTTTTCTTGATAAGTTATACATAGTATTCATTATACTAATCATTAAAAATAGTTTCTCCTACTCACAGCATAGGATAGCATTTCAACACAATCTTCATTATTTGAGTTGTTTGGTTCACCAGGATTCCAGTTAGTGTAGGTTACAGGGCTGCGGTCTGACCACATAAAGCTGTTTTCCATCAGAACATCATCAAGTCCAATCCAAAGAGCCGTGAATGGATAATCTTTTATGTGGTGTTAAAATAACATTTAGCGCATTTCAGAAATACTTAAAAAACAATAATTTACGTAAAAATCGTGTGAACCTTCCGTTGATAGTCCAAACTAAGTAATTTTATTTGAAATCAATTAACTCAAAACATTATTATAATTACAAAGTTTAAACTATTTCTTACCATTATCATCTCCTTTATAATAGTTTGAAATTAGCAATGTCACTTCTGAAGGCATTAAACATTTTTTATGTTTTTGGAGTTTTGTTTTTTCGTATTAGGAAAAATCATAAGATTAAGAAAATATCTCTTTCAACAATTCAATAAATTTTAACTTATGAAATAACAATAGCAACCAGATAAACGTTTGAATGGGCTCACTTTTTGGCAACTGGCTAAAGATGTATTTGTTTTCTGTATCATCTCTGATGGATGCCATTGTGGCCTGCTTGCTGGCACAGAGTGTCACTGCATCATCATGGGAAATGCCAGTTGAGGGTGTGAACTGATAACAAAAGCCACGATTGCCAATCCACCCAGATGGACAGCCCCACATCTTGTCAGCTTTGGATTTACAACAAGAAAAAAAAAAACAAGATATTAGCTTTACAGAGATGTATTTTATCTTATCTATAATTATTAAGAAGTTTTGAAAAATCATGATTTCTGTTGGTTTTTAAGTCTGTTAACCTCTAGTACCAAATTTAAGTTTTTAGTAATAGAAATTTTGAAAGAGTTAATAGGAAAATTTAGTGTTTAATACAATTTTTATCAGCATATTTTTTTAGTAGTAAAATAAATCAGCATTTATTTAAAAATTTACTTTTTTTTTAGTGATTAAATACAGTAAAGATGTACTTACACGCAATTCTTGAAGGAGAGGTTGGCTGTGGAGGGGTTGGAGATGTGACTCTACCTAAAATGTGGAGGGAAAAAGTCAATTAATGTTTTTTTTTATTTAACTTGACTGGGGATCTGTTATACTTTTGTGAAATTTGGTTAGACCGAGCAGTGTGTGCTCTGAAAATATGCAATTTTTTCAATTTTGTGTCTGTCACCCCATGGGATGGTGTCACCCAGTGCGGTCCACACCCCTTTCACCCCTAGCTATGCCACTGGATGTTGGAGTTATTCCATTTATAATTATTGGTTATTTTTGCTGAGTCTCACTCAGTTTCCTGAATTAAAATCATTGAATTTATTCAATGAACTCCAACCACACAATAATGATTAAACAAATATTTTAAATTATCAAAATTATTCAAAGGAAAATATGAAACAATTCATTCTGCCCAACTATGTCTGCCCTAACTTATACAAGGGTTTACAACATATAAAAAAGCAGCCACTAATTATTTATATCAAACACTGATTAAATTAGGATTCTGCTCAGACATTATTTCAATATTACTTTAACTGTAAGGAAAGTAACAATTACAGATTACCTTGTTTTAAAGACTTACCTTTCTTCTTACAAATATACCCATACCGAGCTGTACAAGGTAAATCATCCCATCGACCTGTCTGTTTCATCAAGGCAACACAGTCTGAGTCCTGGGCATTGTTTGGTTGCCCTACAGGAAATTTATTCATGCAAGTTTAACAAATAAGCAATGGATCATAGAAATAAATGGGAATAAATTGTATTTTTTTTTTTAGTTTTCATCCTAGGACAACACTGGATAAAACTGTCACCAGGAACAGGCAATGACATATTATATCATGAATACTTTGTGGGTCCTTAAAAGATTGCTATTATTTCCAATTAAATTAAACTAAATTTGAATTCTTATTTGAAAATCTTTTATTTTAAGAGTTGATTTTTATACCTGTATTCCAGTTCAAAAAACTAAAGGGAGAGCTATCAGACCATTGGAATCCATTTTCTGTTGCCCTATCATTGGCACCAATCCAGAAGAAGTTCGCAGTAAAAGACATCAAACGAGCTGATTGAAAATGCATTGAAAATTAGTCTTCATTGATAATTTAACAATGAAAATATGACTGGCTCAGTTAAAGGTTATAAGCTATTATAAAATTATATTTATTTGCTCGATTTGAAAAGCTTTCAAAAAGGTCAAGAAAGTGTTTTACAAATGCATTACTTGTCCGATTTCACTTTCTTTGATATCTGCTTAAACATTTTGTATCTTTATTAAAACTGTCTCTAATGAACTAATAATTATGAATACCTTTGAATATTTATTATTGAGATTTTGTATTTAATCTCTAACAAAAATCTTCCCTTTTTTTCCACTTTGGTATAAAATGATACCAAAGAAAAAAATTGAGTAGGTAAAATCACAAATCAAGTAAATGTTTTAAGTATTATATATGTAACAAATTTAAAAAAATGTTTAATGGCAACCTGAGAGATAAAATTGCTCTTGCACAGATGTGATGGAGGCAAGGTCCCCCCCTTCATTCTGACAAGAAGTGCGGGCATCCAGCCAAGTCTGCATGTCAAGTTGAATAAAGTAGCAGTTGTCTGAATTGGGGTCATCTTCCCACCATCGCCCTGGACAATTTATGTTTGGGCGGGGAGCTGGAGTTGAAGGCATAACATGTTTTAAAAAATATTTTCTTTTATTTGATGGCTTTGTAGGCTAAATAAATGATAAATTTGGTTTTGCAAATTATGACTGTGTGTGAATATGTATTTTAGCTATTTCATTTTATTGCAAAAGCAATTTAAAAAAACAGCTTAATAAATTGATATCCGAGACATGCTCATCTAAAAGATAACACAGTATAGATTGCAAATAAAATAGTAAATGTAAAAATGATACTCACTTGTTGGAGGTCTTGGTGTTGGAACTCCTGAAGCTAAACATCAAGAACAAAGGGAATTTAATTTTTTAAAAAATTTTTTTAAAGAAGGTGAATTTTTTTTCTCATGTCTTAAACTTCCATAATTGAGAGGGGCTGTAAAGCAATGTAATTTGATTTTTTTCTTTCCCTTTTTTGGTTTAAAAATTGTTTTTGGGTAAAAAGGGCCATATGTCTACATTTACATGGATGAGTCTACTTTATTTTCATATGATTTTTAACAAATAAGCAATGGATCATAGAAATAAATGGGAATAAATTGTATTTTTTTTTTAGTTTTCATCCTAGGACAACACTGGATAAAACTGTCACCAGGAACAGGCAATGACATATTATATCATGAATACTTTGTGGGTCCTTAAAAGATTGCTATTATTTCCAATTAAATTAAATTTTTGGGTTCTTTATATATTGCTTTTATTTTCAATTAAATTAAAATAAATTTTTTTTTTTTTTTTTCTTTTTAAAATTTTAAAAAATATTCTCTTCAATGAATCCTTATTTTCCCAAGATTTGATACAGCAAGCAAGGACTTAGTTTTACATTATCTCAGTAGGAAAGTTTCAATAAATCTACTCTCTAGATTTCTGACCACTTTGCTGCAAATACCATTACTTTTAATGGTAGGCCTGTTTTCAAACTTTACATTTAAAAAAAAAAAATAACAATCAGTTACTCTAAAAACAACAGATAGGCAGGCATTCAATCAATCCTTTACAAAAAAATGCTCCACTGCTAAAAAGTTGAACTATTATACATCACATTCCAGTGGAAAATGGCAAAGCAGATGAATTACTACTTGAAGTAATTTCACTTACTCGGATTCCTCTGACAAATGTATCTTAATGAAATATTACAAGGTGCATCATTCCATCTGTTGCCACTTAAACCATCAAGGTAAGCACAGTTCTCATTTTTGTTGGCATTGTTTGGCTCATTTGTTTTCCAATAGGTAAATGTTGCCTATGGATATTATAATGAGTGCATTATTAAGAATGAAATCTAGGCAAAGCTGAATTAGTAGAAACTAATTTCAGTCAAAATGTTAAGAAGTTAATTCGTTTTTTATTGATGAAAATGTGGCAATTATGCAATCTTTTGAAAGAAAATGAAGGAGTTATCTTAATACTAGATAAGTTTTAAAAAGAAAATGTATGTCTAAAAATAGTTTCATGTGCTGTAAATCAATCTTTGATTTAAAAAATGTATCTTACAGAAAGGATGAACTCTAAGAAACCATTAAAAACTTTTTGTTATCATTTAAGTAACAATTTTAGGTTTTTCTTTAAAATAAATAAGTTTACATCAAAAATGCAGAAAACAATATAAATTTGTGTTTCGTTGTTCTATTTCATTTTAATAAATATTAAAATCTTATGAAAACAAAAAAACAGTTAATCTAGAAACCATTTTTTTTTTTTACAATAATTAATCACTATATGTAGACCCATATAAACTAAGTAAATAAGAGGGGGGGAGTGGCGTAGCCAGGGATAGCTAGGGATTTGTGGGCCCTGGGGGGGTGGCTTGGCCTCTTTGGGGGCCCTTGCATTTTGAAATTCGACATTATTTAATGTAAAAAAAAATTCTGATGATCCTTTGGGCCCAAGTAGGGGCCCAGGGGGACTTTCGAATTTGGACCCCCCTCCCCTAGCTACGCCACTTGGGGGGGGGGGGGGGAATATGTTTGAAATGCTTCTAAAAATTTACAGGTGCAGTCTCATCAAGCCATGAAAACTTGTTCTCCTGTGTTTGGTCATTTAATCCTATCCAGTAAGATCCCACTTGCTTGCTGACTTGACCTGACAAAAAAAAGGACACAGTTTTTATACTGATTTTGTTGTAAGTAAAAGTCCAGTTTAATTTCATACTTTCAATCATGCATCACTAATATCCTCACGTAAGTGTAATATGGGAAAAATATGAAATTAAATGGCGTAGCAGACAAACCTGAAGAGAGACAGTTGACAATATGAAAAAGTGGACGTATTGGATAGGAAGCCTTTAAAAGACAAAAAAACAGCCAAGAAAGAAAAAAAAACAGAAAGACAAAATTAGTTGATAGATTGACATGAAATGGGAGGAATATTGACATTGAATTGTGGAAGCGTCCCATGAAATCAAAGAATTAGCATATGTGATTGACAGGCAACATAGACATAGAAGATGAAGAATTAATAAATAAATAATAATCTATAATAAATAATATATAATAGATAAATAAAATAACATAAGAGTAAGAGGGAAGTCTATGATTATAAAAAGATGATGGCTGTGTAGGTAAGGTGTAGGTGTAGGTTAATTAGGCTGGGTACATGAGGAAGATATTATTGAAAGATTACAGAAGGTAAGGATGGGCCATGGCTTTACCGATGGATATTTGGAACGTCAAACGTTCTATTTTTCATATTGTCTTTCTTCAGTTATTTCCCCCTACTCTGTGTATATTTTTTTATTAATTATAAACAGGCCTAAAATAATCCATAGCAATAGGCGTTGGTGGACTGAAGCAGCCTGGTGTAATTATTAAAGCAGCTCTGTCTGACATTCATTTTGCTGGGGTGGGATGGGGTGTGTGTTTTCAGGCAAGGTCACAGATCACCATAAGCCTACATATCAGCGGTTACCAAATCTAAATGTTTACTAATTAAGTTATTATCTCTAAGAGAGTTCATTGATGTCTGACTTATTGCTAATGAAATACTTAGATGTCTTTGGTTTAAATGGTTATCATTGTAAAATGCTGTCGTAATTAAAACGTGTATTTATTTATGTGCTGAAAATGAATATGTACAATGTAAACAAAAAACATTTCCATTTATTTTGATTAATAAATGTAATCATTTTGTAAACCCATTTGCATATTTCCTGACACTTCTGTAGCATTACCAACACAATATTCAATATCAATTTTACTTTTACGTTCACAGATTTTCTTTCTAAATTATTCCATCATACTTTTTATAACAGAAGTTGTACTATTTGCAATCAATATTAGTTGCTCGTTAGTCTTAAGCTTGACAAAACTTATTATTATTAAGAATAAACTGTAAGTCGATATTTTATACCCAATTATTGTAATGCAGAGGCGGCCCAAATATTACCAAGAGAAGTGGCCCAAATATGATCTGGAGAATTGGCCCAAATATGATCAAGGGAAGTGGCCCAAATATGATTAAGGTAAGCGGCTGGACCACTGGGATTTTCTCCATTGTCCCGGCGAGCCAGACCAGCCCTGACGGTAGGATTACTATAAACTCTATGAAGTTACTGTAAAACCAAAGGCCAAAGGTTGAAAAATTGAGAACCTACCATATCTCAAGTTTAACACCCTTTGTATTGTTATGGTAAACTGTACCAAACATTTGACAACACAACCTTTTGACTCACTGCTAATAAATCCATTAAATGCATTATCTGCAATTTTGACCAAATCCCCATTTCCAGCCTGACAGTCTTGCCTTGCGCCAAACCAAGTTTTCGGGGACGTATAAAGCCGAATGCAAGTCTTTTTTAGGGGAAATGGTGTCCAGCCCGTAGGACAGATAATAGGAGCTGCGGAGTAGCAAAATTAAAATATAGTGGAATTTCTTTTTTTTTTTTTTAAAGTCTTTTTAACAAAAAGAAGAATCCCACATTTAATGTGGATCACCAGACTTCAAAGAGAAAAAAAGCATCAAACAAAACAATTTAAGTTGAAATTGTTAAGTATTTATACAAGGAAATATGAATGTTGATCTGGGAATTTTAAAACTGAAGCCAATGGAAATGTAGTCTATACAGCTTTGTTTTTCAAGCTCTTATATTTTAATATTGAATGATATATTAATAGACAACATAATCAAAAGTAGGCTACATGTTCATCTTTAGACTTATTGACTTTTAACCCTTTCAATATCACCACTTAAATATAGGCCTACTACACATGTTGTTTACTCAAAATGTTATTTCATTATATAAATATAAGTTAGAGCTATCGACTTTAATAAATTATATAGGCAAAAGACTAGACTAGGTGTATATCTGAATTTGTTTTTCTTTATAATTATATGTTGTACCCCATTGCATTTAGGCCTACTTTAGTAGACCCACTAGTACTAGTAGACAAAGCAAAAAAAAAAGAGCTACATAGTACAAACTAAGCTTTTCAGAGTTTTTCATTTAAGAAATAACATTAATAAATAACATTTTACTTGCAGAGACTAAAACACAAACAGATTATTCTATAAATATAAATTTGAAATGAAAAAGTCACTCATCAATAGATAATTTTTAATTTAAAAAAAATTATACTAAATAACTTTTCTTACTAATCACTATAAAATTGCCCAAATAATAATGGCATGTCTGATGACAAAAAGTTCTAAAACTTTTTGCATAAAATTCTAGTGTCCCCTAGTGCACAAACTAAACATTTGCAGTGAAAATTGATCATCCGTTTTAAATATATAACCTTCAAAAGATTTTACTTTCGAGAGTATTAACTTTAAGGAAATAGGATTTTAGTCAAGTCAAATCTAAATAATTCTTCTAAACAAGCAAAACACTGTTGTACAAAAGCCGCAATGACTTAAAAATTACGAAGTGGCTATTCGGATCTGAGTCCCTTTAGACTAAACGGCTATTCGGATGTTGTTGTTTTTTTGTGTTTTATTTGTTGTAGTTTATTTTTGTTAAACTGAGGACGTAAGTTAACAAACATATATAGTCTACTCAATTATCGTTCCTGTCCATATGATACCACATTTGATCTTACAAACCCAACAATGATATTTTAAATATTTTTTTAATAAACCCAACCTCTCACTATTTTCTGGGTCTGAATCACGGGTCCGAATGGCCGCAGCTTTAAAATTACATCCATGTCACTATTTAAAGCACAACTTTGAAGACAGTGATGCTTTATTCTCAAAAATGCAATGTTATGACTTGCCTTTTAACAAGTAAAAAGTGATACATTTATTTTCCTTTTAAAAAAATTAAATAACTGCAGAAACTCTTTACAAATAAAACGATCTTCAGGCTGTTAGGTGTAAGTGTAAGCAATAATTTTGACAATTAAACATTTGGTTCATTATTTTACTTACATTACAATTACAAAATAGAGGGGGGGGGGTAGTGGTACTTGCCCCGCCTCTGGCATCAAGTTTCCCATGAAAAATACAAAATCTATGCCATAAATATAATTTAAGCAAAGAATTTTAATTTTTTTTTATTAGACAAAACCTTCAATTTACATTACCAGGTGTGGTCACAACTTGAGTGACGGTAGTCTGGTCCGTTTGGCAAATGACACCCATCAACTGGCCACAATTCGTTGTTATATGCCAGTACACCTGCTGTTCCGCTGAAGATGAACAATGGAACGTATTAGCCAACAGTTTATAGGGCTATCCCATTCAGTTTTAACTGTAACTAAAAAAAAAAAAATTTAAAAAAAACTCATGAAAACAATCATTCAAGAAGCTTTCTTAAATTTAGATGATGATTCCATAAATCATGCAAAAAATCTGAAAAAGGCGTTCCCACCCCCCCACCCTTTTTTTGGTCAAAGAACGTATAACAATTAATAATTTTCTAGATATGTATGCATGGCTGTAACGCAGCGTTCATTTGGGTGCGGAATGAACATAATTCCCAGAAGTCGAGCACTCACTGGGATCATTATGAGGTGTGTTTCTTGAATGCATGTCATTTTATTGGTTTCGCCGTGTAACTTGAGCAGATGGGCAGATGGGAAGTTAACCTGATCCGGAAATTTGATCGAAAGAAATTGCGTCGGCGGTAAATTGATCGACGGTAATGTGATCGAACGGAAATTTGGTCGAAACTTTTTTTTTTCTTCAGTTTTTACGTTAAAATTTTGCTTCAAATTTCCTTTTTAATGCATTATTTTTTTTCACTTTATAAGTATAGTGCGTCAAAAAGAAATTTGACGAAAATTTTAACGTGTGAACTGAACAGAAGATTCCACCAAATTTCTGTTCGATCAAATTTCCGTCGCGGACGAAATTTCTTTCGATCACATTTCCGGTATCCGAAGTTCACGGGTTATTTCTGCCCTAATAAGCTTCCCATTCTTAACACTTTTTTTCCCACTTCGGGCGCCGAAATGGGGGCTAAAGTAACACATAAAGTGTAAAAGCAACAAAAAGTTGTATTTTTTTTTAACACAGCACTCGGACAAACGATGTTTGGTGCAAATGCCCCAATAAGATGATGAGTTGTGTGTAGCCTACACAGCTCCCGTTGAGATTGCATGTACAGTGCCGGTCCGTGACACTTGAGTTATTTAACGGGGGGAGGGGGGGAGGTCCTGTGTTATGAATAATCCATATTTTTGGGAGCCACGCTACTGCAACGTTATTTTCAAATTTGGGGCAAAATCGCCCTGCTAATAATCACATCATGCCACGCTGGCGCAGAATTACGTCATGGACATGGTGTGACACAGACCAGCGTTTAGGGGGTCATCCATTAATTACGTCAACAATTTTAAACCAAGTTTTGACCCCCCCCTACCCCACCTCTTGCCAAAAACTGTCAAACTTTCAATGACCCCCCCCCCTCCATATTTAATTTATGTCAACATTTTCCATAAATATATATATATTTTTTTGGCCGATCGGCGGAACACGATTTGGGAAAGGCTGGCGTAGACCTTTGGCATATAATTTTTTTCGGAAACTTATTCAATACCTTATGTTGGTAGCTTTGGACCGAAAATTCCGCCTACAAACATTAAAGAAAAGTTCTACTTAGTCTTCTTACGCTAGTTGATAAACGACTATATCATATATATATATATATATATATATATATATATATATATATATAATTGACTAATCTACGCACTTCCGACCCATGTTGGCGGGCGCAATGGGGCGGCCATCCACTCCCTCTCTTTCGTCTACCTACCCGAGACTATGTAACCACAGTCTGTTTTGTTGGGGGTGTTGGTCCTGTTGTTGTTAAAGAAATGCTGGTATGCACCCAGAACTGGTCCACCAACCCATCTCCATGGACCGCCGGTACCATTATTATCTAATGAGGTCAGAAACGCAAAAAAACAGTAGGGAATTTATATGAATTGATATAAAACATTGTTAAAATGATATATTGTTGAAATGATATATTGTTGAAATGATATATTGTTGAAATGATAAATTGATGAAATGAGATATTGTTGAAATGATCTATGGTTTGACAAACATTCAGATGATTCATGATCTATCATTAAAGTATGGAATGTTACTGGCTACGTCTGGATTCTCCTGCAAAAATCTACAAGCACCTTGCCGACTCAGGTTAACAAAAGCTATTTTTTCTTCATAAATTAGATTATCGAATTTTCTGGACCATATATTATATATATTTATTTATTTATTTATTTTATTTATTTATATAAATATATACATATATATAGTTTACTCCCTGCTGCTTTAATAAAAGATGTTTTAAAATTAATAAATAGAAAAAAAATCATATAGATATTGCATTTTCGTGATTAACATTTTGTGGAAATTGTTTTAATGTACGTTTGTTGATGTGAGGATAACATTAGACACTCACCGGTTAGGCCTATCCAAAATGTGGTGGCAGCACCAGGTATCAGTTTAGTGTTGACGATGTAAGGCTTCAACGCATTATGTACAGCGGCTCTGGAAATATTGAATTAGAATAATAACTGAATTGAATAGATGTTTACAGTAACGCATACATTGAAAAGTTAATTAAAGATTTTTTGTGGTGGGTAGGTTGGCATGATCAGTACTAATCAAATTTTTAATTTTTTTTTTTTTTAATTTTAAGATATCTATAAGTTTTCTGCGATTATGTATCATGTGTAGGGATAATGCATATTGGTGTTTGGCAAAGAAAGTGTGTGGTTGGCTAGAACCGATCATGTCGTCTGTCTGTAAACTTGTTGTTACGGAGGAAATGTATGGTTTAACTGGTATACACCATGCGAGTGTACGGTTTTGATACGTTTGTGTTGTTATGGCAAGTGTGTTGACATAACTTAATTTCAGTGTAGCATTGTGGCAACCATCACTTGTCTACCCCAATGCTATTTTTTTCGGTTTGATATTTACGTCAGCGATTCAGCGTGTTGCGCTGTATCATCCTCACCCTACCCTTGATTGAGAAAATGTCGTTTACGCTCTAATCGCTCTAAAGAATGCTATCGGGGGATGCAATTTCTAGAATTTCTTTTCTGTGGGGTTCCAACTTCCTCCCTATAAATAAACCGGCAGCTTTCCAAGCTGCAGGAGAGATTTTCGCTATACACGTATTTCCTAGACATTTATGAGACGCAATATACGTATACGATTTATTTATTTATGTGTTTGTTTGTGTAATACTATTTTTGTATCGTTCAATAGTTACACTTTTGTTGTTGTTTAATACATTTTTTTAAAATTTCATACATTTTGATTTAGTATTTAAAAAAAAAAATCTTATAGTATCATTGCATTACATATTGTTAATATCACTAGCTTTAGTATCGTTTTTTCTATGTATGTTGGTTTTAAATCCCTTTCCACCTATTGTTCAACAAACGAGCCAAATATTAAAACAGGTTAAATCAACCATCTAACGGTGGTTCGTAACATCTGAGTTCATAAAAACAAAGGTTTGAATCTGATGAATCAAACGCTTTACTTACGTCGTGTCCCTGGCTAAGTAGCTATGCTGTTGGACACAGAAACGCTGAACTTATATATACTATGTGTCCCTGGCTAAGTAGCTATGCTTTTGGACACAGAAACGCTGTACTTACGTCGTGTCCCTGGCTAAGTAGCTATGCTGTTGGACACAGAAACGCTGTACTTACGATGTGTCCCTGGCTAAGTAGCTATGATGTTGGACACAGAAACACTGTACTTACGATGTGTCCCTGGCTAGGTAGCCATGCTGTTGGACACAGAAACGCTGGGCTCCGTTAAAATTGTTCTTCGTAGTGGCAAAGATCTTGTAACACTGGGCGCCTGTGGGGCTGTTCACAGAAATCCAACCAGCTGGACACACACTATCTGCGGAGATAAACACAAGTTATAATCAGTGCCACATGTGGAGGCCCCTATGCCGTCAAAATTTTTGCCTCCCCAAGAGGCGTGCCGTGGGGTGTGGATGGGGGTTAAAATATTTTTCTTTTTTGCTGGCATCCGTCCGTCACAATGTGACGATGGAGTGGGCTTCGGAGGACAAAATCCACATGACCTGGGATTACTCTTCAAGGATTATAAGCTGGTTCCCAACAGCAAATCGCCGCTCTCCACGCCTCTGGATAACCCAAGGGAACATCATTGGGGGATACAGCTCGGCACCAGTGACGTCGCAGGAATTATCGGAATGTTTCATTGTATCAATGTTATCCGCCTTTCGGGACTCCATCTCCGGGTTTGATTTCAGCGTTCCCTTCTCTTAGATTAGCTGGCATCCAAGGTTAACGAGTCCCATCCACCCAGGATGAGTTAAAATATATCCATAACCTAACTGCTGGCCTTTAAGACTGGATTGTCGTGTGTTTCTGCTTGTCTACATCTTTACTGCTGGCCATGAAACCCCCTCCCTCCCCCATTAAGCTGGAAATAAAGGATATATTCATGAATATAATACATTTTTTAATTTCCCTCATATCCCAAATTTAATTACGTTTACGTTTTTATTCATTTCGACAGAATCAGACATTTTAAAATCTTGCACATTCACTATTATATATTCATAAATATAACAGACCAATGAAGTGTTTGTTAATTTTCATTTTAAAACGAAATAATTTCTCATCTAAATAACAGATTGTTCAAGGGATATGTTGTGTCACCAATCATTTCGTTATTAAATTTCATTCACGTCAGCACGTTTTAACGTAGATTTTGTTGAACCCTTTTGATAAATTGGTCAAGCAGACTCACAATGTCGCAAAAAAAAAAAAAAAAAGGATTAATTTTTATTTTAAAAAAGGTGTTTGACCAACATAAACATTGTGTAAAGCAGTGATCTAAAGTCTACAGTATTATTAAATTTCATTTCCATCAACACTTTTTAACGTAAATTTTGTTGAACCCTTTTAAAATATTGGTCAAGAAGAATCACAATGTCGCAAAAAAAAAAAAAAAAAGGATTAATTTTTATTTTAAAAAAGGTGTTTGACCAACATAAACATTGTGTAAAGCAGTGATCTAAAGTCTACAGTCGCTGCTGACTGTTATCCAAAGTTGGCTAAATAAGCACCGTTAAGGGGGCAGGCTACCAAAAAAAATTTTTTTTTCAATTAACCAACTTAGAGCAATTATTTTATTATGGTCATGTTAAGCTATGAATGGAGATATATGGGGAAAATAAAGTAATTTAAAAAAACACTTTAACTAGCATTTCTCACCCGGAATACCGGGCGATTTTTTTTAAACTAAAAAAACCCTACTTCCTGTGAAGTCATAACAGTTAGAATCTCCATGGTTCTTGGTGGGTTATTTCAGCATGTTATCTGAACAAGTCGAAATATTAAAGGTAAATAGGGAAAATAGAACGCCAATTGAATACAGCATGACATTTTTGAAAAAAAAGTAAATAATGTGCACCTTTGGCGGAACAAACGCTCCCACTGCCATAGGAGAAATTGTTGCAGTTTTTCACAGTGCAGATGGTACATCTCCAGAAATACGTGATACTACAATTCATCCAAAAAGTGGATTTTTTCCTACATATAAACATTCGCCGTAATCCCTTTATCCCAAAAGCTTTATTTTAAAAAAAATATCGTAAAATGTTGAGGATAAAGGGTAAAAAAATGCAATCTTCAAATGGCTTCGAGGGATGTTCCAGTAAGTTAACCTGATTGCAGTCTCTCCCCTTATTACCCCTACAGTACAGGAGCCGTGTAAGATTTTTTTTTTCATTATTGCCCTAAAAAATACATTTGTCGAGTGTATGAAAATAAAATGAATAAATATCATTTTTTGTATAAACCACCTTGATTTGTTGTTTTTGTTTGCTGTACACACAAAACACAACAACAAACAAACAGAACAGAACCCCCCCCCCCGAAAAAAAAAAAGGGGGGAAAAATGATTCCCCCCCCCCCCCCCAATTTGTAATTGTATAAAGCAGCACTGCACCAGACGAAAAAATCACAATTTGGTAGCCTTGAATTCTAAGTTTCACTTTTAATAATAGTTCTCCAGCCTGGCTAATGTTTGACCCGTTTATCATCATTGCCTTACCTTATTACTGTCATTAACAAAGTATTCGTATTATCGTCTGATAACGTGATTAGCTTTGACTCTACAATGTACAAACAAACGGGAGTTCTTCGCACTACTTTCACCGAGATCTATCCGCCCACGAGCAGATTGCGCTAACTGTGGTCAGAGAAACGTCTTTAATAAGGCTTGCACGTTATATAATTTTATATCAATCGCTTTTTAACAAATAAAAATCATTTTATCTAATTTAATTTTTTTAGTTCTTTTATTTTAAACGATATTTAATTTACTTAATACTTCTTGGCACGTCAAGGGTTAATCTGATTTTCAACTGGACTTATGCTAGTGGTCGGAAAACTCAGCTACAAGAGCCAAAAATCAGCAGCAGGACGATTGAAAATTATTTGAGAGCCATATTTCGTTTCAAGAACCTATCAAGAACTATGCTTGTCGGAGTAAAAACTAATTTGTAGCCTACCATCCGAGCCGCACTCAGGTCGTTTAGGAGCCGCATGGGGCTCGCGAGCCGCGATTTGCCGACCACTGACTTAGGCCATATCAAGTAAACATTTCTAATGCTTTAGTTGTGGAAATTGAAGTGAAAATACAATCTATAATAAAATCCTTTTCATTTGTAGTTTTGATTTTTTTTTTTTTTTACCTATTGGTTTTCATATATTATTTTACTTCGTTTTAGAATCACCACATTGTTCACTGGAGTGTGTCTACCGTGTTTTGCAATGCAGTTACAGAAGTAATTAACCTAACAGCTTTGATTATCGCACCAAATTTCAATTTTTGTTCTATTTTGTAAGTCTCTACACTCTACAACCTATTTTTACTGTTCTTGTTAGATTGGGCTCTTAAGTTGTTGGTTTCCCATGATTTTCTCCCTCTCCGAAGGTAGTTACGCCCCCTGATATTACACACATGCCGAACTTGTCCCTGTGTAATTGACTCGAATCAGCATAGGCCCAACGCCATCAAGATAAACTTAAACCCTGCCTATCAGTGTGATGCATCACTAGTGTGTACACCTATTTATTGTGGAGATATGCCACCAACGGGTACAGCCATGGTGATGATACATCACCGCCTGGTACAGCCGTGAATTAAAGCAGTTGGTACACTGCTACCACAAGCCCCCATAGAAACAGTTGATATGGGCATGATTCCCCTGAATACCCGGGACTCTTATACTGGCACGAATCTCCCTGTGACGTTTGCTGCAAGTCTTATCGGGTGAAGTGAATGTGCGATGTTTCAACGGTCAACTGTTATGCAGCTTTTAAAGTCAAAGGATTCAAGTGATGATCTTAATCTTCCGTTGGGGTCTTGAGACAGACCAATGCCTTCAAGCTGTTTATGGGCCCCCAGTATTCTCTTGGCTTGATGGGCACCTCCGGCACATTTGAACAAGACAACTCCGGATAACATGGGCGGTCTTCGGAGCTCAGCCAATACCCGCATCCAGTCGCTGTCGCCTACAATAACAGTTACTAGGGTGGGGAGCGACGGCGGTGGCACCACTCTTTATCGACCCTTACAAGAATGAAAGCAATATTTTTAAAATGTATACAAGTGGTTCACTTTTATCCATCTTTTTAGTTTCTTGACTAAATCAGTAGGACAACGATGCAGCAAATCAAAGCAAAGCCAGTGATTGACACACCAGTGTTAACATTTCCATAATTCTTGTATTTCTTTATTTATTAAAATTACATGTATGAGCACTGCGTAACATAATATTATAATAATACAAAAACATAACCATTGAAATACGTTTTTTAAACTTTAAAAAAAAAATTTCATATGAAAAAATGTAAAAGGCGAATGTTCAAGCGCATTGCAAAAACACGCAAGGCGTGACGTCAAAACAAAACCCTTCAACACGCTCGCCAAACTAACCATGGTTTATCCATTATTTTTAATTCGAAACAAATCTTTTTTCAATTGTCACAAACATAATCTGATCAACATGTCACCGTGGAATCGAACCGCATTGGCCAGCCATTTCACACTTTGGCCGAGAGATGTATGACCAAGCCCCGATGTGTTCGTAATATATGCAACGCTGGCCGGGCAATTTAAGGAATGGCGGGAAACACCTGCCCAAATTCTGCTTATGCAAGATGTAGGCGGCACATCTTTCGCTTAAGATGTGTGGCGAAATTTTTTTTTATTTTCTAATAAAAGTCTTAACTCAGGCCTGCACAACATATGGTCCGCATGCGGCCCGCCAGCACCCACTTTGCGGCCCACACAGTAACGAAATATTATTTATTATTATTATTTTATTAATAACTCCCCCCCCCCGTCCTATTGTCTTTCGGCCCGCACAAGTTCTTCATAAAGTATTATGACCCGTCTTACATTTTGATTTGTGCAGGCCTGTGTTAACTAGTAAATTTGAATTTAATATTAATAGTCAATATTAAGTATGAAATTAGACATTCGCAAAATAAATATTGTTCTTTCCGACTTAGTCGAAAACCCAAATGAAATTTCACAAACTGGTCGGCCAAATCCGAATATCGAGAAAAGATCGAACAATCGCATCTCAATTTACAGCTCATATATACTGGACAACTCTTGATAGAGCCGGACACTCCTCACTTGTCTGACTACAGTTTTAATAAATAATGTGTGCATAAGTATGGTAATTTTTAAAGGATTATTTCAACCATTGTTGACATAATTAATATATTCATACGACCAGGGCCGTCATAACAACATAGGAGGCCCCCCTGGCGCAGCAATGGACTGGGGCCCCTTAGCAACGCAACACACCTGGGCCGTGAGAAAGTGGACTAAGGGAGGCACTCACCCCATGCTCAAACAGTGGGGGTGGCAAAACTATAGTTCCTGCTGCCCACCAACTCACCAAGAGGAATGAAAATGTAACATAAAAATAAACATTCAATAAAGTTAAACTTCTATGAATTCAATTTATTGATACAAAAAAACAAAATCATTCAAAATCAATAATAGTTTTAAAACAGTATCAGAAATAAACTATAAATAATCACAGAGGATGATAAATTATCATTATTGACAGATAGATAGAATAAAGTATTTAATGTAGATCAACATAATCGTTCGCGTAATTTTTGCAGAGAATTGTTTTATTATTGGTTTAAAGACAATGGTCTTAAGGATGTCATTTTCCATGCACATAAGTGAAAGCCAGTTCAAAAGTTTTTGTCCCATTGTACAGCGAATCTGATTGTTTATGAACTTCAATCTTGAACATGAACATTCCCCTGTACAGTTGATTAGAATCATTGACATGAACACTCTGAGGGCAATTTCAACATTAGGAAAGGCACATTTCAAGTTGCTTGCAATTATTTGTTCATACAAAGCAGCGATATGGTCACACTTTTCATCAAGAACCAGGTAGTTCTTGAGATTCTTGCATTCATTTAATAGGTCATCCGTATTAAGGTCTTAGTGATACATATTAGCTGGATCTTCACACTTTTTATTTATCTCATTGGAATCAAATAATTGGTTGTTTTTTTTTAACTTCGTAAAGAAGGTAAGCAGATTTCCAATCCAAGAATAATAGTGTATACGTTGTGTCAGGTCAGAGTTCAGGAAGTCCAAAATAGGGAGAAGAGTTTCGATTTTGAACTTTTCACTTTTATCATATTTAGATAGACCTGTCACTTCTTCTGGTCCATCATATCTACTTTGATGGACACTTCGATTTCATTTCCGTTTTCTTACCATCTGGACACCTTCTCTTGGTCTTACGTTCAAAGTTACAAATTTTTTCTCTAATTTCTTGAAGATAGGATGTCAGAAACTCATGAAGTGTTATGGCCACATGTATGTCAAACTACCACAAATGACATAACTGAAGAAGTGAGTTTACAATATATAGTCCATTAAATTATCTTTCATTTGATACCAAAAATTTTTCTTACAAACCCTACCATAATATTAATAATAATTTTTTTTTTTTTTAACCCATACTCTGCCTCTTGAAACCCGGGTCCGAAAAGCAGCAGGAAAACATAAATTCTAACCTTATTTTTTAAAAAATCATATTTGGGGAAAAGTAAAACTTGTTGACGAGAGTTATTTCCCTTTAGAAGGCTTAAAATAATCCAGTTTTGATTCGCATTTATAATATTAATTTTGGAATGTGCTGATATATGTCGTGGGCTAAAATTTAGGAAATCGGAAATTTTTAAATCCAATTAAATTGTCAAAATCTTTCCATATTCATTAACACTATGTAAAGCATGATGCCTCTATAAGAGTGAGTCTCCTAGATGCGTGAGGCCCCCTACATGCCCGGGGCCCTGGGCCAGAGCCCACTGGGCCCATGCCTTAAGATGGCACTGCATACGGCTGAGTTTTTTGTTTTGATAACCACCAAAAAAAAACAAAAAAAAATCTTTACTCACTTGCACCATGGAATGTAACAGTTTTGTTAACAAAAAATTATTTTTTTTTACTCACTTGCACCATGGAATGTGACAGTTTTGTTAACAAAAATATTATTTTTTTTACTCACTTGCACCATGGAATGTGACAGCCAACAAGAATACTACCAACGCAGAACGAAAGATTGAGAATAAATCCATGGTTCTACCATGGAACATGAAAAACGACGTAGTTCGTATACCCTACTCTCTAACTGAAACTATGTGCATCGACCCAACTGAAATCTTGTCAAGCTATAGTCCGTCTCACATCCACTCGAATAGTTTGATTAACAGTGGTGATATCTTTTCCTTTTTTTTTTTTTTTTATCTGAGGGAAACGCCTGCTCACATTACCGTAACAGTTTTAAAAAATCGGTTGGTGTTGTCATTTGAAGTGTGACATATTATTGAAATATTAGTCCGGATCCATTGATGCCAATATCACATCCACTCGAATAGTTTGATTAACAGTGGTGATATCTTTTCCTTTTTTTTTTTTTTTTATCTGAGGGAAACGCCTGCTCACATTACCGTAACAGTTTTAAAAAATCGGTTGGTGTTGTCAATTGAAGTGTGACATATTATTGAAATATTAGTCCGGATTCATTGATGCCAATTATTCGGAACATAATCTGTCATTAGGTCTTCTCGTCCAGTATCCCGGGATCCCCGTCGATTTTTATGCATATATATTTTTCACGCGAAAACGCTCCGACGTCATTAATTACATTCCGTTATAATACGTTTATCCCCGTTTTTTTTTCATCCAGATCAGCAAAAAACCCGGATAATAAGAAATCCTATCGGTTGACGACTTATCCACGATTTCGACTGATTATCTCAAGCAGTAATTTGCCGATTTGTCTGACGGTTCAACCCACGACTGGATACCGAATACATTTTTTGGATTAACAACATAGCCACACAAAAAAAAAAAAGATATGGGGGAGGGGGGCTTTTGGATGGATTTGGTTTCACGCCTGTTAATAAACATAAAATGAGTAAAAATGGGGAGCAGTCTCCCCTCCCCCTTGTTACCCTAATCAACATGAATGCGCATCAAATAGAAAGGGTTTTGAAAGCGTAAATACCCTCTATAACTGTCCTGTTTGCAGTGCATGCATGCAATTTATGGACGTTTCTATTGAGTACAATTAAATAACACCTAAAAACAAAGTTTTTTGAATAAATGCTTTATAAAATGTAATATCGAATAATTGGGGGAGGGGAGCAAAAAATTTGACAAATCATGCCTACAAGCATGGGCGCCCGCAGGGGGGGCAAGGGGGCACTTGCCCTAGCCCCTTGGATTCATTGGATAATAAATTTTTTTTAAACAAAACTAGACAAAAAATTTATTAAAGTAAAGAGAAAATAAAGAGAAAGTAACTAAGCTAATGTCCTGTCCGTTCGTTCGCCATACAAATACGCTACAGTAAATTAAAACTACATTAAAACATTACTAAAAATTGTGTTCACCCCTTGCCCCCTAGAAAGTTAATCGATTTTTTTTGCCCCCCCCCCCTAGAAAGTTTTCTGCGGGCGCCCA